GCGGGCGCTTCCAGGCCCCGGATAGAGGGGAGGAAGGGGGGGGGCAGACTCCTGGGTTCTATTCCTGGCTGGGGGGAGGGGAGACCGGACTCCTGGGTTCCTCCCCCATGGGTGGGGGGGCAGGGAGTGCCCCCCTGCCCCATGAGTTTAACTCTTCCCCCTCTTTGCAGTGTTTAACTTCAAGGTGAAGGGGCACCTGGAGCTGGGCGAGCACCTGGGCATCATACGACAGAAGTACGAGGGGGGTCAAGCCCCCACCCCAGCCTGGGGCAAGGGAGGGGAAGACCCGGGTGCCAGCTGCCACCCGCCCCCACACATTCATCAATGATGCAGGAGCTGCCCTTGCACTCCTCTCTGCCCTGGGGCTCGTTTCCGACAGCTGCCAGCTTCCCCCCCTGCAGAACCCAGGAGTTCTGCCAGCTGCCCGCCCCCCGGGGCCTCTGTGATGGAAAAAGGCCCGTGCCTGCCACACGTGTGGCCTCATGTTGGGGCTCTGGTGGGTCAGATACATCCGGGGGTGGGTTCGCTGGGGTTGCCCCCCTGATGGAGAAAGGGAAGGAACCCAGGAGTCCAGGTCCCTCCCCACCACGGGCTGGGGGTAGAACCCAGGTGTCCAGGCACCCAGGGCATAACCACTACCCTGCGTTGCCCTCCCACACCTAAGAACCCGGAGTCCTGGCTTCTTATCCTTTGCATTAACCCAATGCCCCCCAAGCCCTCCCTGGCCTGGCTGGGGTGGGGGGGCAGCAACTAAGGGCATCTTCCCTGCCCCACTCCCTGGCAGGCGTCTGTCTCACATCTCTGGCTACCGGTCCTACTACCTGTACGGTGCAGGCGCCCTGCTCCAGCACGCACTGGTCACCTTCACCCTGGACAAGCTGGTCAAGCGGGTACGGGGGGGGGACAAGCATGGGTTCTCTCTGGGGCTGGGAGAGCAGCAGGGTGCAGTGGTTGGAGCTGGGGAGTATGCCTGGGTTCTCAATGGAGACTGGTGGGTAGAGCTGGCGGGGGAGGGGGGAGACAACACATACTCCTGGGTTCTCTCCACAGCTCTAGAAGGGGGAGGGGAGGGCTCAGGCCCCCTCCCCACGGCCCCAGTCCTGTCCCACGATCACCCCCACACACACTTCTCACCCCCAGGGCTTCATCCCCATGACAGTGCCCGACCTGCTGCGTGGAGCCGTGTTCGTAAGTGCCCTGGGATCTCCTGGGTCCCCTGCCCGCCCCCATCCTGGGACAGTCCCAGCCGCCCCCCACCCCCATAGTGCGGGTCTGCATTGCCAAGGCAACTTGGCCACTTTGGGGGGGCCTCCCCACTACTAGTGGCCACATGGGCCAAACTTCCCCAGCCTAATCTGGGGGGGCCTCAGGCTGCCAGAAGCTGCTGGGCTTGGAAGGGTTAATGACCCCCCCCAAATTGCCCCCCCAGGAAGGCTGTGGGATGCAGCCAGATGCCAACCCCTCTCCTGTCTACAACATCGACCCCTCCCGCTTCGAGGACCTGTGCCTGGCCGGCACCTCCGAGGTCGGCATTGCGGGTACGGACCCCCTTCTCCTCCCCAGAGCTGGTCGCATCTCGGCTGCAGCCAGAGAGAGAGCCCCCCCCTCCCCCCTGCCAACCTCCTGGGCCCCCTAGGCGGGGGTCCGGGGGGGGCAGAGTTCTAGCCCTGACTGCTGCCTCCCACAGGCTACTTCATGGACCACGCGGTGGAGCTGAGGGACTTGCCCATCAGGTAACCCCCCGCTTATACAGCTGTGCCCCCCATACAGCGGTTCCCCCTTTTATGCAGCAGTGTACCCCCATAGAGTGGTTTCCACCCCCTTATACAGCGGTCCTTCCCCCCGGCTCTCCCTGGGTTCTTGCCCTGTTCCTCTCTTTCCCCCTGCGCAATAGGGGCAGAGCCAGGGCAGCTATGGGGGGGCTGCATTTGGGGTCCCCCTGACTGCCTCCTTTGCCCCCCAGGACGGTGTGTTCCAGCACGTGCTACAGGACTGAGACGAACACGGGCAAGGAGCCCTGGGGCCTCTACAGAGTCCACCAGTTCACCAAGGTGGGGGCAGGCGTGTTTCCGGGGGGGGGCAGGAGCTAAGACCCCAGGGGTCCGGGCTCTCAGCCCCTACGGGTCCATCAGCACAGGCCCAGCAAGGGCACCGGGGTGGGGGGCAGCTGCCCTGGAGGATTCTGGGAAGGGGGATGTCTAACCCCCCCCCTCCCCCCAGCCCTGGGGTGGCTGGGACCCCACCTCCTCCAGCGCCCAGCTGTCTCCATGGCAACAAGGTGGGGGGCAGGACATGCTCTGGAGGGTGAAAAAGGAGCACAGAGTCATGGCTGCCCCGGAGCATGCTGGGAACCTGGCAGTCCTGGAGGATGCTGGGCACGCCCCACGGATGCCCCAGGGCATGCTGGGAACCTGGCTGTCCTGGAAGATGCTGGGCACTCCCCACGGATGCCCCAGGGCATGCTGGGAACCTGGTTGCCCTGAAGGATGCTGGGAGCCTGGTTGCCCTGGGGGATGCTGGGAGGTCTCCACTGCTGCCCCAGGGCATGCTGGGACCCTGGTTGCCCTGGAGGATGCTGGGAGCTCCCTGCTGATGTCCCAAGGCATGCTGGGAGCCCCCCTGACCCCGCCCCCTGGCAGGTGGAGATGTTCGGGGTCACGGCGGCGGAGCGCGGCACGGAGAGCGCGGAGCTGCTGCAGGAGTTCGTGTCCCTGCAGAAGGAGCTGTTCTCCGACCTGGGCCTGCACTTCCGGTGAGCCCCCCGTCCCCCCAACTCCCAGCATGCCTTGCAACCACCCCCCAGGCTGCACGACGCTGTACATACGAGGGGTCTGTGCCTGCAGGGTCCTAGACATGCCCACGCAGGAGCTGGGGCTGCCGGCCTACCGCAAGCACGACATCGAGGCCTGGATGCCCGGCAGGGGCAAGTACGGCGAGGTGAGGGGCAGCCTGGTGGGGGGGGCAGCTAGAGGGTGGGAGGGCATAAGGTGGGGTGGCTCCAGCTGGCCCCAGCTTGTTCCTTGGTGGCTTCAGCTCCACGGCTCCAGCTGCCACACACCTGCCCATGCCTACCCCCTCCTTGCGTGGGCTTGCACACCCATGTGCAGATATTGTGCACACTCACATTTGCAGTATGTGTGACTGCACGCAAGTGCTGAGGGTGGCATATACATGCACACCTGCAGATACACCTGCCACACTTGCCTACGCCCACTTAGGCTGGCATGTGTGCACACACCTGAATGGGTCTGCACATGCTCAGGGTTGCATCTGCACATGTGCCTGCAGACACGCATGCTTGCACACACCTGTATGTTTCCATACGATTTGTCAGGCTTGCATGTCCACGTACATGCCCGCACATTTACACATGCTTGCTCAGGCTGGCACATACATGCACACACGTGCCAATTCCTACATGCACGCAGCCTTGCACATACACACACCTTTGCTCAGGCTTGCATATATGTGCATACATACATGCATGCACACACCTGCACGTGCCTACACACACTCATGCCTGCATACATGCACACACTTGCTCAGACTGGCATATAAATGCACACATGCATGCACACTCAAGCTTGACACAGCTGTGCAAGCACATGTATATGCGTCTCCACACCCACAGGCATGGTTGCATATACTCACAGCAGTTCCTCAGGCTTGCACACACACGCGCGTTGCCTTTGCACTCCTGTCCCCCTCTCAACCTGCCTGGTCACCCCCCCAGATCTCCAGTGCCTCCAACTGCACAGACTACCAGAGCCGGCGCCTGCACATCATGTACGGTGACAGTGCTGGGGCGCTGCGCCACGCGCACACGGTGAGCCTGGGGGTGTAAGAGGACCCTGCAGGGGCAGCCCGAGGGGTGAGGGAGGGGCTCTGACCCCCACCCCCGCCATCTGCACAGTGCCAGGACTGTTGCGGGGGCAGCCCAGACACCCCTTCCCTGACACCTCCCCTCCCCCCCAGGTGAACGGCACGGCCTGTGCAGTGCCCCGGCTGCTCGTTGCCCTGCTGGAGTCCAACCAGCTCCAGGTACAGGTCTGGGGGGGCAATTGGGGGTGAGGGGCGGTTGGGAGGTGGGGGAGCAGAGCCCGGACAGCTGGGGTCTTTTCCTGCCAAGGGAGGGGAGCAGGAGCTGGTGGTTAGAGCAGGGGTACTAAGGGAGTGGGGCCAGGGGACTTAAAGCAGGGGCGCCCGGAGGCCTGGATCCTCTCCCTGGCTCTGGAGGGGGGTTAAAAGAGAGCAGGTGGGGGCCCGGATGCCCGGGTTCCCTCCAGCTCAGGGAGGGGTGAGGGGCTGGGACCCTGGATGCCTGGGTCCGTTCCTCTCCTCCCCCCAGCTCCGGGGGAGCTGAGCCCTGACCCCGCTGCCCTGCAGGATGGGCGCGTCCGCGTGCCCCCCGCCCTGCAGCCCGTGGTGGGCACCGACATCATCGCCCCGCCCCAGGCTGCGACCCCGGTCTACATCGGGCCCAACCAGCCCAAGCGCCACTGACCCCAGCGGGAGGGGGGAACGGACCCCCGCGGACGCCTGGATTCGTAGGGCCGGATGCTGTCGTTGCCTCGTCAACGCACCCAGACACCTGGGTTCTGCACCTGGATGCTGCCCATTGGCAAGGGGGGGGAGCCCCTTTCGGGGGTTCTGCTGGCTCCAGGACCCCTGACCTTGAGGGGGGCAGCCCCCAGGGGACCAGAGCTGTCAAGCAAGGGGATGTGATTTGGGGTGACAATAAAGGCTTGATGATGGAGACGGAGTCGGTGTCCCTGGGGGCCCAGCCCGGGGGGGGGGAGTGGGGCTGAGAGTGAGAGCGGGGGGGTGAAGAGCCTGGATGCCTGGCCTCTCTCCCGGGGGGCCCTGCCCACCCTGGGGAAACTGAGGCACGAGGGAAAGGGCAGGATGGGGTGGGCACCCCCAAGGGTCCTGGCTCCCTGCCCCCCCCCAGCCACTGCCTTCCCTGAGCCTTCGGGTGTGGGGGGGCTCGATGGCGGCTCAGTGGGTGGGGAAACTGAGGCATGGAGCAGAGCTCCCCCCAGCTCGGGCTGACAGCAGGGGGGCAGTGCCCGCAACCCCTCACCCCGGACGCCTGGGTCGCCCCCCCTTCCCGTGGCCGTGCCCCCGTGCCTCCATTTGCACACACACGCGCGCGCGCGCACACACACACACACACACACACACACACACACCCCGCTGGGGGGAGGCTCCTGCCCTGACTGCCCGCCCCCCCG